ATAATCAGCGTCTAGGTTATCTTTCTATATTTTTCTACGTAAATCCAATGAAGATTTTCTGGCTTTACGTTCTTTATGGGTCATATCTTTGTTAACCCATATTCCTGTTCCCTTTAAATTTTTATTCTTTTCCAAGATACACCAAACGTCATTGAATCGTATAAACTCGATTAGAATTAGCTTGTCATTTATTTTGTACAGTCTATCACAGACGAGGTTTGATAGGCCAAAATAGTTTTTACAAAGTTTCTGGACTCTCTCAGTCAATTCTGCTTCTGATCGATCCTGTTGGAATTCGGCTAAAAATTAAATTTTTTTCTTTAGTTTTCTTTATTAGCCACTCTATTGTATCCTGCATTTCTCGGTTTTGTTTCTCTAACGTCACTACTTTTTCTTTAAGAAACATTTTTTCCTGTAATATCTGGGACTTATTTTCCAAACATTCAAAATCTGCCTTTTGATGCAACTGTTTTATTTTTTCGTCCAGTATCACTAATGCTCTTAAGTAGAGCTTGATTTTCCATTTCTTTTAAATCTACTCTTTTAACTGATCTAATTTCTTCGGGTGATGAAATAGTTCGCCTTCTTTTCACTGGTGTGAGATATTTATGTATCTTGTTAATGTTTTCTAGTTACATTCAGAACAATCACAAAAAAAAAAAAAAAATATATATATATATATATATATGTATATATATACATATATATATATATATATTAACCCTTTGCGGTCCCACTCTTAATTTCATGAATGTCCACACAGTCTTATGCCAGTCCAGTACCGGCATAAACAACCACTGTCATTAATCCGTGTCCTTTTGTTTACATCGCGCCCTGGTGGTCCGTATAGTTTTCTACCGAATTTCACATTTAGTTTCAGAGGTCATAAAAATTATATAACTGCTTATTTATTCTCAAGAATCAATTTTTATTCAAATGAAAAGTAATTTATACAGTTTTGTTAAGTAAAATAATTAAATTCATCGATAATTTTTCATCGTATGACACTTCTCAAAACATTTCCCAATGTGTAGAGCCGGATTTCTGGAGCATGTCTAACAGTAAATATTTGTTTCCCTTCTCCCATTTTTTTTGGAATGGTCGCTACAGACTCTGCACTCTCTAGTTTTGTTGGACCATTTGTATGGAGCGTGAAATTTACTGAGGTTTAGCCTCTCTTCGTCGTCCGATGTTGAGGAGTGGCCTCACTTCTTTACTGACGAGTTTCTTACATTCCCAACGAGCTGTTCCACCAGGGCTTTTCGAAATATGATCTGACGTGCTTTAGCATTCCTGTCTTCTTTGTACGGCAAATATGAATTAACAAGAGCTGTTTCTAACAGCCAAAAAAAGAGTTTTCGATACCATTTTTTTGACTTCAGTAAAAATGGATAAGATGAAATATAGTGGTCAGTTGCATCAATTTCCCCCATATATTGACTATATTTAACGATCAACAGAGGCTTTTGCAGGATTTCTTCTTCCCCACCTTTTCCTCTTCTTTTTATTTCTACACTTTTGTTTCCATATAAGGTAGTGAGGATGGCCACTTCTCTTTTGTCTTTCCAGACAATGAGACCCATGTTGTCCTTAAAAGCACGCACTTCTCCTTTTTTTCATTTTCGGACTTTTTTCTTTCCTGTTTTTTTTTTTTTCAGTTTTGAAGGAAGCCCTCTTCTGTTTAACTGAATTGTTCCAGTCAGGTGACAGCCATATTTCAGTAGTTCTTTTGCTACTTCTATATTTGTGTAGTACCGGTCAGTAAAAAAATGGTATCCACTGGCACCAGTGGTATGCAACACAGACTGAGCAATAGTTAGTACAACTCTGCTGGTGAATAGCAAATCAGGACGAATCAAAACTTGTGTGGTTAAAGATCCAAAATACGGAATGAGGCTGTAAATGTATCCATTTACAGCATCAGCAACTGCATAAACCTTTAAACCCCATTTTGTAGGTTTATCTTTGTTATAGGTCTTAAAAGAGACCCTGCCTTTGAATGCAACAGTAGCTTCGTCTATCGACAAGTATTGTCTTGGAAGGTATAACTCTTTATATTTTTTGTCGAGGAATAACAGCACGTTCTTAATTTTTGCACTCCTTGAGAGTGTGCCTTTGAGAGATTCATCACGAGGAGGAGCTATATGGAGCATCCAAAATATTGGTAGAAATCATTTTCTGGAAAAAATTTCTGAAAAAAAAAGGATATTTATCCACAAATTCTTTTGACCAATTCATTTTGAGTTCAGGGAATGGATGAATGCCCATATTAATTAATACCCTCAAAAATGCTTCCATTTCTTCGTAAGACATGTCCTTCCAAGATTGCCAAATTGAGCCAGGTTTCAAAAGACCTGTATCTTTTTTAATATCAATATCTAATTTCGCGTATTTATTTGTTTCAAAAACTATTTGTTGTAGCAACTCAGGTGCAAAAAACAACCGAAAAAAATCTTTTTCCATAATAGGGGCAGGATTAGGTCGTTGATATCCCTCCTGACCAGAAAATGTAAAGTTTGGGAATGAACTCTCACCATCATGCCAATCTTCCCATCCATCATCTTCCAAGATTACTATACCCTCAGCAGATGGCAAAGCATTTTGAGCAGTCCGAAAATTTTCGTCAGCTAAATTATTATTTGTTTGATTAAAAACCAGCTCGTTATCTGATTCATCTGTTACATCAGCCCATTCGGTTTCAGAATCAAAAAGATGTGCATTACTTGCATCACTTTCTTCATCATCAAAATTTTCGTCTCCTAAGTTTTCTTTTTTACTTTTGTGACACCGTTTTTCCTCGTCTAATTCTCGCAAAATTTTTAAAATTTCTTCGTCCTCCATTAAAAAATACACTTATAAATAAAAAAACTCTGAAAATTATCAAAACTTACGTCAAAAATGTTAAAACTGACACCACCAAAACGTTTCAAGATTCAAGAAATTACAACAAACTAAGCAGTCTTGGAGTTCTGTAGTTCCCAGACTTTTTACAGAACATCTATCGGGTGTTGAGGTTACTATTTGGTACCAAAATGATCAGATGATTGTCTAGAATAGCGCTGTCTATTCAAAATATGCCTTGGAGAATTCGGCAAAAGACTAGAAGGACAGAAAATCGAAGCTGGTGATAAGCCGGCATTGGACTTCTAACGTTAAATATGTCTGCCGGTCCCAGCTCGTCAAAGGACCAGTAGGACTGGCGATGGATAGACACTCGCAAGTGGAATGAATAACTTGTTTATGCCGGTCCCAGGTCGGCATACGACCGCAAAGAGTTAAAAAATAGAGTTTAGAGATTAGAGATTAACTCATCGGGCACTAATGACAAATATAAACACAACTTTTAACTTGTTTTCAAAAACTAAGGTCACTAAAGCACAGAACAAAAATTCCAGCACAGGAAAGTTCGCAATACTTTCATGAGAATGAGCTGTCAAGGGTACCAGAAAGTGGATATCCTGATGGCGTTGGCATCTTCCGGATTGTGGTCTTCTGGGCTTTAGCCAGATTCAGTGAAACCCGAAGTACCAATAGGAAACCTATTAGTGGATCTCAGCGCATTATGACACCAAGGTAAAGAAATATTGTTATTACTACAAGAAGCATTCCTCTTCATAGTGCCTGATAAAACCTAAATGAAGTTTCTATTCTGCCAAGTCTAACATCTTATGCTCCTTTAAGATGAACTACAACAGTGCGCGCAGTGAGCGCCTAGGTGACATACAAATTGCAATGCTGTTATGTTTACAGAGGAGTCACATTTCTGTATTTACAGTGATCGTAGGCGCCGAAGAGGCACCGAGAACAGGGAACTGCCACCATTTGTGCTTCCTTCAATGCAGTCTAGAGGTGGGAGTGTAATGGTATAGGCCGACACCTACTCAGGAGGGCGGACTCTACTCCATATTGTGGAAGGTAATCTCATTGCAGTTCTTTATGTTCAAGAAATTATAGAGGAGTACATTCCTCAATCCAGGGCCATAATGGGCACAAATTTTCATTTTCTTGACAATAGGTGACCTCATAGAGAAAAAGTTGTTCATCAATATCTTGAAAATCTGTACATTTCACATCTGCTCCTTCCCGTATTGTCACCAGATCTCAATTCCATTGACCACATGTGGGATGCACTGTAGAGAAGGCTTTTTGACCACCATCTTGCAGCTTCTAAACCTTTAGTAACTGAGAGCAGTATTACCATGTGTATGGAATGAAATTCCTTGTGAAATCAGTGACGAAATTATAAACAGTATGTGCAAAGAATACAATACAATAGGTGCAAAGAATTAGTGTGTAACAGAGGATACTATACAAATTATTAAATTTTACAAAATTTTTACAATTTGCAACCATAAGAACAAGATCACAAAAAATTTTAATTTTGTTATTTTTTTTAAAACACCTTTTATAAAAAATTTCTCAAGATCAAATACAATCTTATTTTTATTAATTTTCAATGTATTTTATAAAAAATAAATACCAAAATCTAAGGAAAATAAATCATATGTTTTTGAACAAAATATTTTAATATATACGTTTTTCATATTTTCCTGGCAGTCAGCCATTACTTTTCCCGCAAATTGGAAAAAAATGTTTAACTAACTTAAAACTTGTTCAACTAAAAATTTTTGCAAAGAACAGATGTACTCACACTGATCAAACTTTGTACACTGAATCAGAGGGATTTCTCCCACCAAAGAACAGGGTCCTCTACTCATCCTCCTCACCACAGCCCCATTCCTGAAACTTTTGGGTCCTCCCTTATAAGTTTTCTTTAAACCTAATCTGGTATTGTTAGTAACTTTGGAGTGTGTTAATTATTGTTGTGTAAAATTCTCCATAAACCTGCTTTTTTCACTGTACGGCATGAATATGAGAACAATAAATTCTTTAAATATGATTATTTATTTACTGAACCTTATTAAGATCACCAGAAAAAAAAATTAACAGTCGAGAAAATAAAATATATATGTAAATATAATAAAATTGACCAAACTCACATTTTTTGTAGTAGAGATTTCACATTTGTTTTTTTTAACAAATACGTCTCCAGTTTGTTCTTGAATTGCAGGAGGCTCGATAACAGTAGGAAACATTCTAAATCTAATGATAAGAAAATATTTTATAAATAATTTGAGAATTATTTTTCTTTTAAATATGAAATTTCAAACTACAAGCAATTCTTTTCTTAACTTAAAAAAATAATACACAAAGGTCCATCACATACTGAACCCAGCACATTCATAACCCAAGCCATTTGCACAAATATGTGAATAACAGTTTTTGTCATGAAGCCAACTCAAGAGGTTTTCTCCAGTATGTGGGTTATTTTGTATCAGAGGCAGAGTTATCAGTGAGGTAGACTATGCATACAGAAAAACTGATCACTAACATCATGTTTTATATTAAATAAACTATTCTGAGTTAATAAGTAAATTAAAGGATGAACTGAGAAATTAAATTGAGGTGTTTCATTGTTTTATTTATTACAAAAATGCAGCACATGTCATGGATATAAGGAATTTTTAATTTTATAGAATGTCATTTCATTTTTTATCCTGAAGTAATTTGAGCAGCACTGACTTATTTCAAACCAGCCCAAAGTTTTACAATTATAAACTAGTTGTTATATCAGTCTTAGAGTATCTCTGAATGAGTCAAGAGTTTAACTACCATTTTGCGCTATACATATTATTTAAACAGTCATTTGAACACATTTCTGCTAAATTTTTTCACAATTACTTCATTTTGTAATATTACAGCTTTAGTACAATTATTATACTGTGTATTGCAGACTTGTTGTGGTAATAGTTATCTAGTGAAAAAACAACAAAAAAACTGATTGATGAAGTTAAGGAAATGAAGTCCAAATTTTAGGGTATAGAAGAACTGAAGGAAATAAAAGAAACCCTCCAGAAGCAATCGGAACTATCTTTCGAGAATATGGACTGGTTATTAAAAATTGAAACACTCCTAGAAGAGCAAAAAACCTATGTTGAAAAATAACCCAGAAAAACAACACGTTAAAAACAAAAATATTCGAGCTGGAAAGTCGTCTGAATTCAACAGAACAGTTTCAACTAAAAAATACACTTGAAATAAAGGAATTTTGGAGAAGCTGAGTGAAACCCTAACTGGTACCATCCTTAGTGTCAGAGCGGATCTGGGCGTCAAGTTGAGTCCGGATGATCTTGATAACGCCGTAAGATCCAAGCCCAAGCAAGAAGGGAATCCAGGCCCAATTATTGTAAGATTCGTCAGACAAATGGTGATAGATGAGCTAGTGCGGCAGCGAAGAGTAAAGAGAGATTTCTATACATGCCATCCATGCTGGGGAGAGAACAACTCACAACTGACATGTTATGACTAATGTTATGAACAACTAGAATACATGTTCATTGAAATTTCCATTATTACCTCTCCTTTGTTATTTGCATAGTTCACCGCCCTTCTCATGTTCCATTCGACAACTTCTTTGAATCTTCCCTTGTTAACTGTCCCTGATTTCCCATTACAACAATATTATCACTGGCAATTTTAATGTGAATATGCTTTCATAATCTCATGACAAATACTTCCTAACGACCTGCTGTTTCCCCTTAATCTTTATCTTGTTCCTTATTCTCCTACCCATCACACGCAATTTGCCGACACTTGGTAAAATCCTATCCTCTTCTCAACATCCTGTTCCATTTTTTTCATCACACAACCTGATCCATACATGGCCTACCTATGAAATCCTTTACTCCCAAAATGGTTTCATACTGCAATTTAAACCTTCTCTCCTATGAATCTCTTCAACCAGATCTTAATTCTTTCCAATGGGAAATCATATATTCCCATACACAGTTATCATATATATACCGTTTTTGGAAGGCGTCAAAAGATTCGGTCGGATTGAAGGAGAGGTAAATCTGGACGTCGTCGGCATACTAATGGTATCGACAATGTAGGATAGAAGATGGAAAAAAGGGTGGGAAATAAGGAGGAGCCTTGTGGGATACCTCTGGACAAGGGTAAAGATTCTCATGGGTGGTTATTGGGGACTACAACATATTGGGAGTGGTCGGAAAGAAAGGATTGGAACCAATTAAGAGTACTAGTTAAAAAGGAGATATTTTTAAGCTTGGTTAGGAGAATTTTGTGGTCTACTGAGTCAAAGGCTTTGGAGAAGTCAAGGAGAGTTAGGATGGTGAGTTTCTGCTGGTCCATGACTGTATGAATATCTTGGGAAATTTTGATGAGGGCAAACTGAGTGGAATAGCCAGGCCTGGTTGAGATTTAGGAGGTTATTATGTTCTAAAAAGTAGGATAACTAGGTTTGAACTAGTCGCTCTAAAGGTTTGGAAAGGTTTGAGAGGAGAGAAATTGGACAGAAATCATTAAGAGTTGATGGATTGGAATTCTTCTTCATAGGGCGAACTAGTGCGGTTTTCCAGGATGTAGGGAAGGTAGCGTTTTGTAGTGAGTAATAGTCTTTCCTGTTTCACCCGATGACTTAAGTTCACATTTTATCTCTGCTTCCTCTACCTCTTCTCTATCCTTCTCTTCCAACTTTGCTTCTGAGTCCTCATTCAAGGATGTTGACTTTTATTTCACCGACATTTCCCCCACTGACCTACAAACCGCTGTAATGAAATCCCACACGAATTTTATAGGACTAGATGGCATTCCTGTCAAATTAATAAAATTATGTCTTCCCGAAATCCTCCCAGTTCTCCTTTTGATCTACAATTTTTCCCTACAGAACTCAATCATCATCATCATCATATGTAGCACGACATCCCGTTACCGAGACTGGGCCTCCTCCAAGAGCCTCCGCCAGTTGGCTCTGTCTTCTGCTGCAACTCTCCAGTACCGTACACCAAGCAGGGTTCTCGCATCATAGGCCACGTTGTCCAACCATCTCGTCCTCGGCCTTCCTACCCGTCTTACGAGGTGCAGCTCCTCCATAATTATTTTCTTTGGTATTTCAACGGTGCTCATTCTGGCCACATGCCCTGCCCACCTTAGTCTCAGAACTCAATCTACCTCTTGGAAAAAAGTCATTGTCCTCCCTTTAAATAAAAAGCCTAATCCATCATCTCCTGAAGATTTTCGCCCAATCTCAATTATTTCCAATCTCTCAAAACCCCTGGAAAGATTGGTGCAATCCCAAGTTTCCAATTTCCTTTGAAAAGTCCAACCAACTTGATCGTCTCCAGCCTGGTTTTCATACCGGTTACTCCACACAACCCGCCTTAATTAAAATTACCAATGATGTTCAGACTATTCCTGATAGATCTTCAACAGACTATCAAACCGCTCATAACCCTTCTCACCAGACTCCTTTCCGAAATCTCGATTAACTTCCCTCGAACACATGAACACAAAGCCCCTAACTATTCTCTTATGGAACACTAATGGACTACAAAACCACCGTGACGGACTAGACATATTTCTCCATGACAATTATATTGACTTTGCCTTCCTAACAGAAACTCACTTCACCCAATGAACATATTTCTACATATGTGACTACATAACCTATAGATCTGACCACCCAGACAATACTGCCCATGCCAGTTCTTGCATCCTTATCCATAAATCTTATTGCTAAGAAGAATGTAATATATTTTTTTATGTTTTACCACTGTACACAGTTTTAATTGTCTTGGTTTCAAGTGTTTTGTATATAGATTTTTTTTATTTGTACATAGTATGTTTAACTAATATTTTCTTTACTTATTTCTGTTTATTCTTACTTTTTAAGTTTGTTTTTATTTATGCTAGATATAATATTTTAATTTTGTACTTTTTTTGTTATTTTAAAGGGACTGCCCTAGAACAAAATTATTTTCTATTCTATTTCTATTTCCTCTTGGTAATATACAGCCATTTCTTAGGATTCCTGTATATTTTCACTTCTTTCCAGAGCCTGTTTATCAGTAGTAGATAATGGTCACTTCCGATTTCGTAACCTCTTTTGACTCTAGCATCCCACAGGTCTCTCACTTCTTCTCTCTTCACCAAAATATAGTCTATTAAGGATCTTTCATTCCTACCCGGTTCCTCTCTTGTGCATCTATGCTTTTCTTTATGCAGGAACAGTGTATTTGCTATTGAAGGTCGTTTGCCGCACAGAAATTTAAAATTCTCTCCATTGTCGTTTAGAAAGTTTTCCCCATACCTTCCAAAGTTCTGTGCTACTTCTCATATTCGCTACCAACTCGGCCATTCAGGTCTCCCAGGACTATAGGCGTGCCCTCACAGTCATCCACTTCTTTTTGATGGGAACTAAAAAAGGAATCCTTTTCTTCCATTCTTGCATTTTTGTTAGGTCCATAGGCGACAATGAATGAATGAATCTTCACTCCCTCCACAATATTCAACAACATGATTCATTCACGAACTTCCATGCCTTTATTACTGAAGCCAGGTCATTACTCTCCGACGTCCAGTCCGACTCCTATGTTCTCTTCCTTTAATCCTGATCACTTCTTTCTTTCCCATATTACAACAGATGATCTCCTTAAATCCATTCAGAAGTCCCATACCAATGATTACGGTCCTGACAACATCCCAGTCAGACTGATTAAAGCCGCATTGCCATCCATTCTTTCGATCCTTTATCATATATATAATTATTCTCTTCAAAATGCTACCTTCCCTACATCCTGGAAAACCGCCCTAGTACGTCCCTTGAAGAAGATCTCAAACCCATCAGCTCCTAATGATTTCCGACCAATTTCTCTCCTTTCAAACCTCTCAAAAACTTTAGAGCGGTTAGTCCAATCCCAGGTATCCCATTTTTTAGAGGACAATAATCTCCTAAATCCCTACCAGTCCGGTTTCAGGCCTGGTTATTCTACTCAGTCTGCCCTAATCAAAATTTCCTAAGACCTTCACACAGCCATAGATCAGCAGAAACTAACCATCCTTATTCTCCTAGACTTATCCAAAGCTTTTGATTCAGTAGACCACAACATCCTCCTAACCAAACTTAAAAATATCTCTTTTTCTTCTAGTTCCCTTAATTGGTTCCAATCCTTCATTACCGGTCGCTCCCAGTATGTTGTAATTCCTAACAACCCTCCATCAGAATCTCTTCCTCTGACCAGAGG